AAAGATGATACATTCGAATCGTGAACCGTTGCTTATCAGATCAAGTGGTTGCCAGTGCTGCAAGCCTGCACATCAAGGCGTCTTCATTATTCTAGAGTTAATTCCAGCAATGGTCCTCCGACTATTGCAATTTTCCAAAATTAGTCCTCGACTTTTAATTTGGACAAAAAAGACACTTGACTTTCAGATTTATTCCAGCAATGGTCCCTCCGTTAAATATCAGTTAAGGTGTCGTTAAGTAGAGGGGTAGTGTAGTCATTTCGTTATTGCTTTCTTCTTCCTCTTGTCAGAGTCACTTTCACCGGTGTCACCATCATCTTCCTTCGTTTCCTCTCCCCCTTTCTGTTCCATGTCGTCCGAGGATGTTTCGGCTAGGATCGACCAGTGTTTGGAGGAGCTCTTCCTGAAGCCGATACAACAGGCTGACTTGAAACGCCTGAGTTCCCATTTGCTCAGACCCAAATTCCAGAAGCTTTGCCCAGCCGAAAAAGGAAGGAGGTGGCGGCGGAGGAGTTTTGTGTCTCAGCGCAACCAGCCAGGCCGATAAGAAGAAGAAAGAAGAATGGTTTGATCTCTAAACTCCGGCCGATGATGGATCAAATTGGATCAATCGAAGAAGATCTGAAAGATATTGAAGGAGGATTGAACCAAAATTGCGAGCGATACAGAGCCCATTTTTAGGAAGCAAACGCGAGTGTTGTAATAGAGAACACGGTGAAATTTGCGAGCGAGAACTGAGAAACATCGGTGAGTAAATTGAAAGCAAGTCAGAGAGTAAAATTGGAGATGTGATGATTGTGGGATGGAAGCAAATAGGGATCAGAACCAAATTAAAAGTAGTCTGCTTTTAGTATGCTGGCTGTCCTTCACCATGCATCCACAGATTCTTGTATAGTCACATGACGACAGGTTACCACTTCTGCGAGATATTGAAGGAGGATTGGAGGATTCAAGATTGAATCATAGATGAGATGTAATTATACACAATCTTCCTTCCTGCTAGAGCTCTGGGTCATCAAATTCAGGATTTAAGGCCTGCTTGCAATTGAACCTATATATTGCAGATTTGGTATTTTCTGGCCAAGTTCGAGTTTCCGATGACTGTAAACCCGCTAGAACTGCCAAACGAAAGAGAAATTTTTGATGATTTGTAGCATTTGTTGGTTAAAAACCACAATTTTATACAGATATACATGCTATTTGAAACTTACAAATGACTTGTACTGCTAAGTTTAGTTAGTAAATAACTACAGTACATTATATGACCACAAAATGGCAAGAACGAAGAGGTATGGAGTGGGTGTAGAGAGGAAGAAGAAAGCACTTAAGGAAATGACTACACTACCCTCTACTTAACGCCACCTTAACTGATGTTTGACGGAAGGACTATTGCTGGAACAAATTTGAAAGTCAAGTGTCTTTTTTGTCCAAATTAAAAGTCAAGGATCAATTTTGGAAAATCGCAATAGTCAGAGGACCATTGCTGGAATTAACTCATTATTCTACTTTGTTAAATGAATTCTCTGCAAAAATAGTCAAAAAAGGATCAAAACATGTTGTATAAAAGCACATTGCTTGAGCATTCATGCCTGCATTTGAGGCCTCTCTCTGGTCTGCACAAAGATTGAAAGCAAAGAGAAGTGAAACATAAAAAACAAGATGAGTTTCTGGTCTGCTGAAAATGCTGCCAAAGCATATATCAGAACCATGAAATTGGTGAGTATCAGCGTCAAGAATGGATTTTGATGTATCAAGGAAAGTTCATGGTTTAGTTATCTCTATATAAATTTTGTCCTCTTTCAGGCATAGTGTTCAACCCTCACCTGGTCCTTTTGCAGCGCCGGACAAACCAGTAGACCCTGACACCTGAGAGACCTCACACAACCTTTCGTGTTCAATTCACCAGTTTCTATCTGGTGTAACAACTTAAAATCTGTGAATTGTACACAAATATCTTCTGCGCCAAAACAACCACAATTCTATCCCTCCGAAGCAGGACGGACTTCACCTCGGAGCGAAAGGATAGCTCTCCGATGCAGCTGGACTGATGATCGTCCCAGATCATGACCTTATTCAAAGGATATTGTGGTTCCGGCCCTCCCCCAACCCGCAATAGAATATTACAACGGAAAAGCATTTGAACAACCCTAATTCCGCCGCTCACGCCGCCACTATTGTTGGTGAAATCGCAGCGGAAAATCTCTCGAACGGGATCACAATTGTAGATACGGAATCCTCACAATTGTAGATACGGAATCCTCGGTCGGTGAAGGAGAGGTGGATGAGGGTAAGGCGAGAGGAGTCGACGATTTGAGGAACCGGGTAAGGGTTAACTGTAACACCCTCGATTTTACCAAAATTTAAAAGCTTAAACAAGAGACATAAAGCTAAACATTAGACATTAAACAACGGAAGCAACGTCTAAACACGGAGGTGCTATGCCACACCTATATCAAACATAGGTGCACAGGCAAACTACTAAACATACCACAACAGCTAACGGTTAAACTAACTAGGCTCACAGGCCATAAACAACTGGAAAAGCATAAGGAGCTACACTAGGCTACTGCGGTCCACTAGCGCGCTCTCCAAAGCTACTCAAAAACCTGTAAAGAGATAGGGATAACACCCGGTCAGCGAATAATGCTGGTAACCCACCAATACGTGTTAAGTATCATAATATACATAGATATAAGCAAAACCATTTGAGATAGAAGAATACAGTATATATCATTTTAAAACCAAGAGAGGAAACATCAATAAACTCATTAATTCACTCTCAACAAGGACCACATGCCAACATATTCAACAAGGCAATAAAACAACAAACGATATACTTAACAAGGCAATAGAATAACAAACGACATACTCAACAATAGATACTACCTACCATACTCAAGGTAGGGTTCATTATAAACCTGCTCATAATCAATAAAGCGAGGTTTATACTCACAACATGTTCCAAGCCCACATAGGATATAGCCAAATCGAAGCATACCTCAAAGAGTCATCTCAACGACCCGATTCATAGTGGACCAGTGTGGAGGACTCCAACTCATCAATCACATACCATAGAGTCACCGCAATGACTAGGACCGCAGCCCAATGGAAACAGATCTAGCAACTTTAAGTGTATACACCCTCTATTGAGATTCCAAGCTCAACGGTTTAGTTACTATCTCTGGCAACTGGAATGATTTTCCCAAGTTGCCCACAAATCATAAGTATCCAAATGGCAATCCGGAGCTTTAAACCCACTACCGGATCAATTCACACATAAGTTCCCACACTGTCCACTTTACCAATTCAATCATCTCATCACATCCAAATCCAACATCTCAACAAGAGTCAATACACACGGAATCTAGAGATACAACAGAGCATACATTCCACACAAGGTGTGTACAACAACGGATAAGCTCAACAATAGCTTAATCACGAAATGATCAATAAAGTACCACATTTGTACAAGATCACATCAAGGGATTCAATGAAGAGGTTTTAATGAAAGACATGAAACCGAATACTCAACAACAACAATGGACTTCAATCCAATACCAACATGATTGGCAACCCAAGTTGCCAATCCTCAAAAGGAATGGACAAAAAACACATACTAGCATCAACGACATCATAACTAGCATGCACATCAAACGGGTAAACCAAAATGATTCTAATGAACCTCAATGACTCATATTAATCCCACGAATCACAAAGTTGGACCATAAGCACGATTCAAGACACCAAATCCTATCATGGATACTTATGACCTCGTTCTAGACTTACGAAACATCAAGAAGACACCCAAAAACTCAACAATCCAACAAAAGGAAGCCAAAACATCAAATACCAAAGGAAGAACCCACGGGGAAACAACCTCCCACGCTATCCCGGAGATGTACCCTGAGGGTGGGACCTCCAGGCTAGGAAGATCTTCAAGATCTTCCTAACCTCACACACAACAAAGATAGGACTTGAACCCAAGAATAGCTCAAAGAATGGCATTCAAGAACCCTAAATACAAGCTCTAAACATGCATTATCACAAGATCATGCATCCAATCTCACAAATGCACCAAGAATCATCAAATAGAAGCCAATAATCATTAATAGCAATATAAAATAGGTTTTGTATAGCATGAGTTACCTTTGAAGACCAAAACCTTCTTTCCTCTAACCCTCCTAGGCCTTACTTTGAAGCTCTTCTTCCTCACAACCTTCTTACACAAGCCTAACCACAAGAAAACACCAAACTTAGATAAAGACACCTTTAAGCTAACCAAAAACACTAGATAACTTTAGATCTTACCCCTTCCTATGCTTGGGAGGTAGAAAGGTGGGATCTTGGATTGAATCTTTGCAAGGCTAGGAAGATCTTCTTTTAGCTTGGAGAGTAAGCCAAGATTTCTTAGAGAGAAGGTGGAGTGTTTAGGAGATTGGCTAGAAGATGATGAATGAAATGTGTGTCTTGCTAGGGCAAGCTTAAACACCAATCATGTATGAAAGGACAAGTTTACCCTTACTAAAAGGCTAGGAAGACAAAAGGCTAGGTACAAAGCACAAAGCATAAGGTACTCATGGTTGACTAAGGAATTAGTCAACCTCTAATCCCTTGACTATTAAATTTCAAGATTTTAGGAAAGGAATTCATCAAGGAAATTAGGATTAATTCTGCAATTAATCCTAATTAAGGAGTCGAATTTGGTAACAATTCTAAATTTAGTCTCAGACTACCGCTTTTGTTATTTAAAATCCTAGAGTATCATTTTTTTGGATACATTTTATCCTCTTGATTAATTTTTTGATAAGACCCTTTTTTAGACAAGGACATTTCCGTTTCTTTAATTTTTTCTTTCTAAATTTTTCTGGTTTTTCACCGATTTAATTGTTTTTTGTTCTTTTCCTTTTGGATGACCAGTTCTTCCTCACGTTTTTTGCCATCCCCTTCCTCTCCGATCACCAAATCCCTAGACTCTCCTTTATCTCCTTCACCGTCACAGTCTAGTCTCCCCCTCCCAGTGACTCAACGGAGAGGCAACCGGGATCCTTATCTAGAAACTGTTGGCAACTAATGTCAAAACCCACCCTTTGGAAAAGTTGTTGCAAATCAAAGCAGGTTCCCAGTTGAACGTAATGGTCGAGAGCCGGGAACAGTCCATTTTCCATCTTGTGCAAGACGTTCCTCTCTAGGGAAGCGCGGAAGTTTGGGTGGTTCATGAGGGGCATGGTGGTCTTCCTGTGGAGCTCCCATAAGTGGGAGTCAGTGTTGATAATCCCATCTCCCAGAATCTGAAAGATTTTGTTGAAATGGGGACCCTTTGGGTAGTTGTTGAAGTTTTTGCAGAGGATGTGGTTGATGTTGGCTGGGTCACAAGTGAGAAGCATGAAGGTAGAGTTAGCAAACCATGGGCCTTTGATCTCGATTGTGCCACCATTGTGTCTGAGAAGCTCCGTTGCATAGTCGAGGAAACGGTGAGCATTCTGGACGATCCCTGGCAACATTCCCAGGACTGGCCAATTTGTAGGAGCAAAGCTTCTACTGTTGCGTTTCTTCCAAATCACCAAACCGCATAACACTACTACACTCAAAAGAACTACACCACCAAACTCATTGAGGATGCTCATTATATCGTATCTTAGCTTAATTATTTCTATGATCACTTGAAACTATTTGACTATTTGTAATAATATAGTTTATTGTGAGAAAGAAGAGCAATATTCTTTCCCTCTTTGGTGTACTGTGGGCTGTGGCAACTCCCATCACAGTACATTTTATATTCTGTTAATCTAGGTATGCCTATAATATTCTGTTAATCTACGTCTCCAATTAGATGGATGTGACCCATGTGGGTTCTAGTTCCAAACCTCTTTTTTTTTTTTTTTTTGGAAACAGTTCCCGAACTTGTGTTTCATACTTTTTGGAATTGGAGGAACTACGACCTTAGCTTGTAAGAAAGGCATGATTTGGATTCTTCTAAATGAACATGGACAGCGATGGGAATCTACAAACTTATGTGTTAGAAATATAGCGGAATAATGCGAAAGCGAAGAATCGAAAATTGAGAATTATACACTGCTGGAAATTTCGCTATTTCTGTCCAAAATTTCCGTCCAACAAAATGTTGGTCGGTAATTTGTAAAAAGTCACAACATTCCGTCGAAGATGAAAATGAATGAAAAGTTGGATGGAAATTTCCGTCCAACTCGTGATAATTGGATAGAAATTCTGTCCAACATGTGAGTGTTGGACGAAACTTCTGATCTACACTAAATATTGGACAGAAAATCAAATTAACTATTAGATGAAATGTAAAATCGAATTGACTAAATACCGTCCAACATTATTAATGGACAAAAATTAAAATATTTAAACATTGTCAAAACTCATTTTCTTCAAATTTCGCTCAAAACACCAAAGTCTTTGGCGGTACCTCCTCCTCCTCAAAACCCTATTCTCTAAACATTTAATCAGCAGCGGACACAGCAAAATCGCCCTCCCCTACGACGACTCCCCTGACCTCACTTGCGATGAAGACGACGATGACGCCTCCCCTGACCTCTAGGCTGCGACGACGCTGTAGACTCGAATGCCGCCGCTCGCCCGCCTTCCTCTGCGACAGATCTAGAAGGAAAACCTCGACTTCTGGATTTGCAGTTCGAAGACTCGACTGAGTGTGAGGCGAAGGTTGTTTGGTCGCAGCGGAGTGAGTCCACCAAGGTTGACGTGGGGGAGGAGGGAAGAATAATGCGGAGGAGACTAAGCTGTAGCAGGGAACAATTAGGGCTTAGAGCTCGCGGAGAAATGAAGACGATGAGGGAGGCAAAGTCATGAACCCTACCGATGCCGGAAGGAGCTTCACAAGTGCGAATTGAAACAAGTAAGTTTTGCTCAATCTCCATTTACTCACATGCCTTTACATACTCAAGCATTGGTCTAGAAATTGTTGGTTTGAATTTCGATTTTATCCCCTAACTGAAGAAAATTAGAAATTAAAAGCTGTTGTATGTGTGTGAGATATAGCTTGCTGCTCTGGCAAAAAAAAGAAGTGTATTGCTTATAATGATAATATTCTAATTCTCATTGTGTAGTGTAGATTGACAGTTCTTAGTGTGGTTGTATTGCTATAATTTAATGCTTATAATGATAATAATGATAATATTCTAATTCGAAATGTGTAGAGTAGATTGACAGTTCCTGGTGTGGTTGTATTGCTATAATTTATGCTTATAATGATAATATTCTAATTTCCGTTGTGTAGTGTAGATTGGCAACTCCTGGTGTGGCTGTAGCTTGCTACATTAATTTCTATGAAATTTTGTCAGTTAGATAACAAGAAGCTCAAAACTTTGCCAAATAGTAAAGATAGGAATCCTCTGATTCAGTTGGTACAGTTATTTGTTTGCATGGTACAGACTGCGTAATATGCATCAATAATTACTTTGAGACAGTAGATGATAGTGTACCACTATTAAGAAATAAAGCAATATTCTGTACTGATTATATACTTATACTCTTTTTATTGAAATGCATGTCTAATTGTAGGTGGCTTGGCTAACATTTCAGATACTGAAACAAGCATTAGGTAAAATTTTCATTCTGTACATATGTGATTTTGAGTGTATGTATATATTTGCATTTTTATGATAAACCAGCATAGAGTCTCAATTGATGATTATTCTTTGTATTATCTTTGTCATGACAGGGCATGTTTTAACTTTCATCAGGAACTTTTCTTCCTCTTTTTGTTGCCTCCTAATATATGCATAATGCATCAGTAGTGAATGTTATGCCCTTACATTGCTTTTGAGATACAGTCACATATCACCTATAAATAATATGACACAGGTGACTTGCTGATGTTGTTGAATGTGTCATCTGACAAGAAGATGCTACCTACACAGTATGGTGAATTGACACCTTCTCTTGGGAAGCATCGTTTAAAGGTCAGTCTATCTGAAACTCAATTTAAAATAAATTGATGGCTTTGTTCTGTCTGTTAATGTTAGTTAGGTACTTAGGTCTGTGAAGATTGTTCAGTTTCTTAAAACTAAGTAAATCTCATTTGGTGTTCTTTTGTAATTGTTATCCTTGACTGCAGAGATGTGTTGGATCCTAATAGTGTAGAGGGTCCCACCATTTTCTCCTTTCCTCTAATTAGATTTTGATGGTCTTCTATAAAAATAAACATATATAAAAAGAAGAGTATGTTGGGGGGATATAGCTATCTAGATGTAAAAATACTGATTACTTTCAATGTCTAATTCTTTTTAAATTAGTTAGTCTATTATATACTCATTTTTTCATATTAATCTTGTTATTCTGCTCCTTATAGATTGTGGAGTTCATTTCTGTGCTGCTGAGAACTGCCAATGAAATAGTAGAGACAGAATTGATCACCTCAGGGACAATACAGAGAATCTTGGATCTCTTTTTTGAGTACGTAAGATATTGCTGCTATGCATGATTCTGCATCTTTGAGTAACATGGAGTGAAGTTTAATTCTTAATCAGATAGTCCCTTTCTTGATATCTAAGATTTTCTGTGTAAGTATAATTGATGCAGGTACCCATATAATTATTATGCTTTTTCAATTGATTGAAATATGACAAGTCTCAATACAGAAAATCAAATTTCAAATTTTAAACTCAACACAGAAGCTCTTGAACATTTTAGAAAGTTTATTTTCAGTTATTTATTTATTTTCACATATTTCTATCTTCCAGGATACCATGGTAGTTTGCCACTTTCTTGTTTAACAAAGGTTGAAGAATATCATGATAGTTTGCCACTTTCCTGTTTTCTTAAATCATGGAGCGTGATCTTCAAATGCAACTTCAAATGCAGCATTGATGGTAGAAATTCAACAAATGTGGGAAGAAAACAAAATGATGAAACACAAGTCCTTCCTGATGAAGATTAAGTATTTTATGTTTTTATGACTTCTTGTGTATGGCAATAGTGCATTGCTTAAATGTTTATCAACACAATATTATCTTTTTGTTGTAAATAATTTTGATATTTAAATATATTTTCATTTTGAATTTAGATTGTGTACATTACTTTGTTGATGATGTAGAATTTACTGATAATAAGTAAAACAAAATTATAGCAATATCAGAATAATAAAAATAATTTATATAAATATAGATTTTCCTACCAACCATTGGTCACAATTTCCGACCAACTGTCGGAAGGAATTTCGGATATTAAAGCGTATGAGTTTTCCGACCAACGGTTAGTCGGCATTTCCGTCCAACGAGTAAAAGTTGGACGGAAATTTCCATCCTAAAATGGTGGGTTAACATCCGGAATTTCCGTCCAACTTTGACCCGTTGGACGGAATTTCTGTCCAACATTTGATGTTGAACGGTATTACCGGTGTTCATTTTTCCGGGGTCACGTTTTGGTCGGAATGTTGGACGGAAACCCGTTTTCCGACCAATAACTCCCGTTTTCCGTCCAACTTCCGTTGGACGGAAATAGCGAAATTTCCAGCCGTGATAGAAGTTAAATAATAGGGAAAATAATATAAATGACAGAATAAGGCAATTGCTAATTTGGGAGATTATAAAATATATATATTAATCTCTAAATAGAGAATACAAAGAAAATATATATATTAAATATATACTCTATGTGAGAGAAGATAAAGAATTGAATGAATTAAAATTGATGCCTGATTACAAAGGAATTCTAGCCTATTTATACATTTCAAACTAGAGACAAATGTGGTGATTGTAAGAAGACCCAAGAAATTAGGTGAAGATGTGAAACATGGATGCTAGTTTCATGGTGAGTGGTCTTCATGATTTTGAGCCACACAATTTGAGCCACATATTATATCTAACAATCTCCATCTTGGATCAAATTCATTATTGTGAGAATTAACAATTGGAACAGCCGACTAAACTCAAGCACTACTTGAACTTAGCAACAGGAAGAGCCTCATAATAGCAGGATGGATCATCATCAACCTCCTGTGCGACTGAAAGAGCATAAGCAACCAAGTTGGTTTCATCATCACTAGCATACCTAGCTGGTTTTTTAATTGTCCTCCTAGGACGATCCATAGCAATGGAATACTCTCGTTGTGGCTCGACGAGAGGTGCGGTGCTAGTAGATGCATCATCTTTAGTATTACCATCAGCAGTAGTAACACTATCAATAGGCCTGAACTCAAACTCCACTTTCTCACCAGTACTTTGCGTCTCATCTGTACTGGGAACTTTTCCAGAAGAACGTAGTGCATTTTCATCAAAAGTGATATCTCGACTCAGAATGATTTTTCGAGAATCATGAGACCATAGATGATACCCTTTTGACTCAGAGGCATAACCAAGGAAAATGCATTTGACAGCTCTCGGGTTCAATTTACCCGTACTGGAATGAGCATAAGCAGGACATCCAAAAACTCTTAAGATAGAGTAGTCAACAGGATTACCTGACCAAACTTCCTCTGGAATTTTGAAATCAAGGGAGGAATGTGGAGATCTATTTACCAAATAGCAAGCAGTAGAAACGGCCTCGGCCCAAAAATCACGCCGTTTCCATAACCCAGCATTAGAGAGCATACAACGAGCTCTTTCCAATAGAGTCCTGTTCAAACGTTCGGCAACACCATTCT